CACAGCCTTACTCACCCTGGGCAGCCGGGGAGAAAAACCAAGCCACGCTTTCCAAATTTCCGTGGGGGGAGTGATCTCATCTCGCCTTCGCAAGCAACCCACCGGGGACCGCCCTGCCCAGTTTACAGATGAGGGTACTGGTACTGGGGCTGAGACTGGTCCCAATGTCATCCGGCAGGCCCGAGCCTGAGCCAACCTGAGACCCTTGGCACTCGGAAAATACAGGATCCAGGGCGTGAGGAGATGACCTGTGAGTGCTGGCCGCGTCCTGTCCCCCCACTGCCAGTCAGGCCTGTCCCCTACCCCCAGAACCTCAAAGCCCACACACACAGACGGTATCCTAAGACACCTGCTCCCCGCTGTAGCCCTCCCCATGGGCCCGGACCCGCCTCTCCGTAGCTTTTCTTGGCACTCATGACTTACAGTAAGAAATCCCGGGGGACGGCCCTGGAGCCTGTCTTCCCCCAGCAGTGCAAGGCCTCGGGTCTGCAGGTGCATCTGCTCTCGGCGCTTCCTGGACTCCAAGTACCCAGTGACTGGAGGGCAAGACACAGCGCAGGGACCCGGAGTCTAAAGGGGGAAGCGGCCAGACCCAGCTGCCCCGTCCCCTCCCTCCCCGATCTTGCTCGGTGTGCCATTGTGCTGGTTCGCCTGTCTGGGACGTGCGTCTGGAATGTCCCAGGGCATGTGCGGCGGCACAGGTGCTGGTGGTGAGCGTGGCCGTGTCTGAATCTCTCGGGCGGGAGTGTGAATGCAGATCACAGAGTTGGTGTCTATGACTCGGGGCTTTGCAGAGAGAACACGTGGGGCTGGAGTTCACCCCTGCAGACCCTCCCCTGCCGCCCCGCCTTGGCTGCGAGACCCCCCACGGTGAGGGCCCCATCTGCTGTAGGCTCGGTGACCTGTGTCAAATGAGCAAGCGCTCGGTCACACTCCAGAGCCTGGAGGAGGCCGCACCACTCTGGGAAAGCCTGGGCAGCTCCTGGCCCCGGGGGGCGGGCTGAGCAGGGGCCCTGCTGGGGACGGAGGCCCATGAGCCTCTGAGACTGGCGGCGGCCTGGCTGGGAGCTGCCCTCCACAGACGAGGAAAGTGAAGAAGAAGAAAGAATAGGAAAAGAAAGGGCTTCCCTGCTTCCTTGGGACCAGCACTGCTGCTGAACGGCCCGGGCGAAACTCGGAGCTGGGCGTGTAATCGTGCCACGGGGTGTGGGTGTATTCATCGCAGTCTGTGATGTGCGGGGTTGGCTCCTTGTGCATTCGTGGGGAGAGTGTGCCTGTGTGTGCGGATCCGTGTGCATGGACAGCAGGGTGTGATTATTTGTGTGAACTGCCAGATAAGAGCCTCCACGCTCGTGACCCCAAGGGCCTGCAGGTCTCCTGCATCCGTGTCACTGAAGGAATGCCGGCTTGAGCCTATTTCAGCCTGTGTGCGGGTCCTGCGCCCGTTTTCCTTTTGGACACGCGTCTGTATGTACAACTGTGCGTTGGTTTGTGTGACTGTGAGTTCCAGCCTAATGGGATCCCTCCGTGTGTCCCTACTGTGAATCCCTATGTTTGTCCCTAGGCCAAATTGCATGTGTGTGTGTCTGCACGTTGTGTGTGTGAACGCACATCCATTCGCATGCCTGAACCATTCAGCGTCTGCACGGGGCAGGCGGGCATCCACTGCCAGGTCCCAATTCCCCACCCCCTACTCTGTGAGGATGGGGCCCCTGGAGACAGGGGCTGTTTACCTGCAGGCATCTCTGCCAACAGGCATGTCAGAGCCCCAGGCATGTCCCAGACCCTCCAGGAATGAAAGCAAGGAGGATGTCAAGACTTCTGGGGAAAATCTGACTCTCAAATGCAAGAAAATGTTGACTCCAGACTAGATCCACGCATGGTAGAGGTCTCAAACTTCCATAAACAGGGAAAGGAATGTTATCATTATCCTTCCCTGGTCTACACTGCCTGCCCCCGGGGGCTGTATCTAACACTAGAGCTTCCGAGCAGTCCTGAGAAGCAGGCATTGCTCTCTCCCTGTCTTAAGATGACAAAACTGAGGCTGAGACAGGCAAAGCAGCTAGCACAGAGTCACCAGGCTGCTACTGGGGGGGGGGGGAGGGGGGCGGAGGAGGGATTGGGATGGAGCCTTGCTGGTAACCTAGGAGCCTGGCTTTGCTGCAGACACCCCTCAATTCCACACATACCTGGGAACTCGGCGTCAGAAGCCCCAGCTGGCCCCCGCCTGTCCCCGGAGAGCTACCAGAGATGGGGCAGAGGGCTCTCTCTGCTGTGACAGCCAAAGCCACTGCCCCCGCAGGCACCCGCCCCCATCCCACAGCAATGGGACAAGCATGAGGAAGAGTGGGACCTTCGTCGGTTCTGCAGCCTCGGACAAGCTCCGCTTCTTCATCTCTGCCCTGGGGATAATAATCTCAGGTCCCTTCTACAGAGCTGAGAGGTGCAGGGGACATGGGAGTGAACGTAAAAGCACTGCACCCGTGGGGCACTGTCCTTCAAGTTTCGGTGGCGATTCAAAGGCTGGACATCGTTACACCTGACCGCTTTCCAGACACTTCCATTCCTCCAACAGGAACTGAGACACTCACTGAATCAGACCACCACAGCTACAAGAGACTGAGCGGTCAGCTGGTCCAAACCTCCACAACCCCACTCGACGGATAAGGAAACAGATTTGCTTAGACAGGGGAACTAAGGTGCCCGTTTGCTGGGCACTCACGATAGAAACCACCAGAGTAAAAGCCCTTCCTGAGAGCCTTCCCTCCCCGCTCCCCTCATTGTCTCAGCCCACCCTCTGCCTGCCATCAGTGAGGCAGGTGGGCTGCCTACAGTCCTGTTAGTCCCAATTCACAGGGAAGAAAACCAAGAGCTACAGAGATTGACCTGAGTTATTCTTGCCCAGAAAGCTGGTGGCAGGTCCAGGTAGGAAGCCCATGCTTGAGTGTCATGCTGGCCTGGTGAGGGCTGGCGTGAGAGGCACCTTCACTACAGAATCCCCACCTTGGCCCCACCTCTTGGGTCTTGGGGACGGGCCAGCGAGACAAGTGCTTTATGATCTCATGAAAGAACGGTGACTCAAGGTGATCACTTCTTGGGCCAGAGTCCAGGAAAGCCAAGCATCCCCAGCTAGGTTCGGACACAGAGCTCCATCACGGCTCTTGCAGCAAGGGTGGCACCCAAGAAGGCTGCTCAGGACAGTGGCCAACGGCCAGACAAGGACCCTGCCTTGTGTCACTCCATCCTTTGAGGGCTGGCCAGAGGCTGGTCTGGGGTGCTCAAGGGCCTGGATGAGCAGTCTGTACCCAGGCTGACCCAGTGACTCTGCCTCAGGACCATTCCCACTGCAGCTGGCACCTGAGCCCCCAATCACCCTTATTCTATTCACTGAGGCTCTGTCCTACGGTCCTAACTTGTCCAGCAGGGTCTAGCTGGGCCCCCAGCTCAGTTCTGTGATCTGAGACCCCAGGGCCCTGGAATCGACAGATACACGGCGGCAAGGTTAAGACCAGACCGGGTGGGGGGCGGGGGGAGGAGGTGAGCTGCCAGCTGGAAGACTCCCTGGGACCCAAGCCCTCTGTGCAGGAAAGAGGTGGAGGCCGCAGGTCACTACGCTGGGCCTCCTCCCGTCCAGCGTGGGGCTTAGAGGCACAGACTAGCTGCGCTGAGGTCCGAGACCACTCGGGATCTCTCCAGGAGGCCTCAAAGAGCTGGGGAGACAGGAAGATCCCCGAATTGCACGCCGCACCTTTCTAACAAGGCGTCCTCCGTCTCAGCTCCCTGCTCTGCAGCCCCCCAAGGCAAGCCCGCTGAACTCCAGCCCGGACAGCTCCGGGCCGGCGCGCAGGATTCCAGGAGCGCGGCCGCCCTCCCCCAGGTCCCCCCCAGGTCCCCCCCAGGTCCCCCCAGGTCCCCCCAGGTCCCCGCCACTCCTCACCAGGAGCAAGTTTCGCGTCCGGGCGTGACCCCGTCGTGACCCCGGACAATGAGCGGGTCACGCAGGGAGGAGGAGCGAGGAGGCGGCAAAGCGTGGGACAGACCCCCACCCCCGCCGGCGGCGCTGCCCGGGAGCCCCGCGCTGCACCTCGAGGTCCTCTGCCGCGGGAAGCCCGGAGCGCGGCCTGGCTCCGGAGGCTCCCGGGTCCCCGCCGCGCCCGCCCCGCCCCGCCCCGCCCCGCGCCGCCCGCGCCGCACTCACCTGGTCCGCGGAGCCCGGGGGGAGGCGAGCCCGCGCCCGGCGCGCTCTCGGGGCCGCGTGGGTCGGCGGGGCTGCGACGCCGGGTCTGGCAGGGGAGGAGGGAACACGGCTCGGCGCCGGCGGGCAGCCCGGAGGCGAGGCGGCCGGGGAGCAGGCGCGCCCGCACCGCGCCGGCCCCGCGCCGCCTCCCGCTCGCAGCCGCCGGGCCCCGCGGGGAGCCCGGCCCGCCCGCAGCGGCGCTGCGCAGCGAGGCGCGCGGGGCTGAGCCGCTCCCCGGAGCCCGAGCGCCTCCCGGAGCCCGCAGTCCCCGCAGTCCCCGCCGCCGCCGCCGCCGCCCGGGCGCCCGGGCGGGAATTCAGTCCGCGCGGAGTGTGGGACCCGGCGCGCGCGGAGTCTCCTGCGCCGGGGGACGCGGGGCCCACGCAGGCGGGACGAGAGGGGGCGCGGTCCCGGGGCCGCCCCCGCGCCGCTCCCCACGTGGCGGCCGCGCCCCCGGGGCGTGAGTCCGCGCGGACGGCAGGGGGGGCCGTGAATGAAGCGGCGGCGGCCAATCAGCGGCGGCGGCGCGCGGGACCCCGGGAGCGAGGCCCAATGGCGAGCTCCGGGCGGCCGGGCCGGGCGGCGGGCGGGCGCGGGGGGCGGGGGCCGCGGCCGGGGGGCGGGAGGCGGCTCCGCGGGCAGCCAATGGGCGGCGGGCGGGGTGGGGCTCCGGAGCGCCGAGCGGGTCGGGGCTTTAAGCCGGCGGAGCGCGGCGGCGGGGCCCGCAGACGGAGCGGAGCGGCGGCGGCGGCGGCGGCGGCGGCGGCGCGGCGCAGGGCGCGGGGCGCGGGGCGGCATGGCCACCACCGCGCAGTACCTGCCGCGGGGCCCCGGCGGCGGAGCCGGGGGCACGGGGCCGCTCATGCACCCGGACGCCGCGGCGGCGGCGGCGGCGGCGGCGGCGGCGGCGGCCGAGCGGCTGCACGCGGGGGCCGCGTACCGCGAAGTGCAGAAGCTGATGCACCACGAGTGGCTGGGCGCGGGCGCGGGCCACCCCGTGGGCCTAGCGCACCCCCAGTGGCTGCCCGCGGGCGGCGGCGGCGGCGGCGGCGGCGACTGGGCCGGGGGCCCGCACCTGGAGCACGGCAAGGCGGGCGGCGGCGGCACCGGCCGGGCCGACGACGGCGGCGGCGGCGGCGGCGGCGGCGGCGGCTTCCACGCGCGCCTGGTGCACCAGGGGGCGGCCCACGCGGGCGCGGCTTGGGCGCAGGGCGGCACGGCGCACCACCTGGGCCCGGCCATGTCGCCGTCCCCGGGGGCCGGCGGGGGCCACCAGCCCCAGCCGCTCGGGCTGTACGCGCAGGCTGCCTACCCGGGGGGCGGCGGCGGCGGCCTGGCCGGGATGCTGGCCGCGGGGGGCGGCGGCGCGGGGCCCGGCCTGCACCACGCGCTGCACGAGGACGGCCACGAGGCGCAGCTGGAGCCGTCGCCCCCGCCGCACCTGGGCGCCCACGGACACGCACACGGACACGCACACGCGGGCGGCCTGCACGCGGCGGCGGCGCACCTGCACCCGGGCGCGGGCGGCGGCGGCTCGTCGGTGGGCGAGCACTCGGACGAGGACGCGCCCAGCTCGGACGACCTGGAGCAGTTCGCCAAGCAGTTCAAGCAGCGGCGCATCAAGCTGGGCTTCACGCAGGCCGACGTGGGGCTGGCGCTGGGCACGCTGTACGGCAACGTGTTCTCGCAGACCACCATCTGCCGCTTCGAGGCCCTGCAGCTGAGCTTCAAGAACATGTGCAAGCTCAAGCCGCTGCTCAACAAGTGGCTGGAGGAGACCGACTCGTCCAGCGGCAGCCCCACCAACCTGGACAAGATCGCGGCGCAGGGCCGCAAGCGCAAGAAGCGCACGTCCATCGAGGTGGGGGTCAAAGGCGCGCTCGAGAGCCACTTTCTCAAGTGCCCCAAGCCCTCGGCGCACGAGATCACCGGCCTGGCCGACAGCCTGCAGCTGGAGAAGGAGGTGGTGCGCGTCTGGTTCTGCAACCGGCGGCAGAAGGAGAAGCGCATGACCCCGGCGGCCGGCGCGGGCCACCCGCCCATGGACGACGTTTACGCACCGGGCGAGCTGGGGCCGGGCGGGGGCGGCGCATCGCCACCCTCGGCGCCCCCGCCGCCCCCGCCGGCCGCGCTGCACCACCACCACCACCACACACTGCCCGGCTCGGTGCAGTGACCCCGCGGCCCGGGCCCCCGCGGGCGCGTGGCGAGGCGCCGCGCGGCCGGAACTCTTCTTTTTTTCTTTTCTTTTCTTTTCTTTTTTTTTTTTTTCCTTTTTTTCTTTTTTATTTTTTTTTTTTCTCTTTTTGTTCGGTTGCTTTGGATTTTACAAAAAAAAAAAAAAAAAAAAAAAAAAGCCCAGAAACTTTCGAACCTAAACCAAACACCCGGACGACCCTCTCCGGCGAGCGGCGAAGACGGCCCGACAGGCTGCGTCGCCCGAGCCCCCGGGAGAGAGGAGCGAAGATCCGGGACGCGCCAACTCACCCCGCCGCCTGCTCCCCGCCCCCATCCCCTCGGAGACCCCCGCCTCCCCCTGCACCCCTCCCACCCCCGGGCTGTTCGGGGCCGGATCCCGGCAGCGGCCTCCCCGCAGCGACAGGTAACGCGGTACGGGGTTAGGGACCCCCGGGAGAGAGGATGGAGACAGGAGGGCCCCCTCGCCCCAGCCTGCGGGTCGAGGGTGAGGGACTGTCGCTTAATCCGCTCCACGCCTCCTCTCCCGCAAGGATGCGCCCCATCCCCCTTTTTACCCTTCCTCCGGGCTTGGTTTTGGTTGGTTTTGGTTGGTTTTTTGTTTTTGTTTTTGTTTTTTTTACGGTTTTTATTTATTCACGGAGCCTCTCCCCGGCTCCTGGGGTCCTTCTAACTCCGCCCGCGCCCTTAATTTAAATCGCTGTATACTGTATTTATCGGGGCCCCGGAGGGGAGGCCGCGAGAGCCGCGTCTGTGTATAAAAGCAGGAAATAGCCAAAGCTTTAATCTAGCCTAATTTATTTTTCCCCCTTACCTCCCCCTGCCCTTACACCCCACCACCACCATCACCACCACCACCATCGCTCCACCACCCCCCCCCAAAAACAAAACAAAAACAAAAAAAAAACTAACAAAAAAAAAATTCGAGTGTTCATTTTTCGTTTCGTTTTATCCGAGCTGCGATTCGGTTCCCGGCCACGCGGGAGGGGTCTGCGCTCCCCACGCACACCCCCCGGGAAGAGGCTTCTGCCCCAATGCAGACTGACCGCGGCCCAGCAGGGCCCCCCCATCCCGCCCCTGCGCCCCGCGGGGCACTGCCCTCCTGGCCACCGACAAATGAAAACTTGAAAAAGTTGGAGGTATTTTTTAACCAGCTGTAAAAATAAGCCGGTCCCTGAGAACCCTCTGCCCTGATTCCCTGCAGCCTTCGCCCGCTCCCTCTCCAGCCCCACCTGAGATGCGGGATGCGGGGGGCGGCCAGGAGAGAAATTACCCAAGTTTGGGGTGAGGTGGGAACCATGTAAATATGTGAGATATGTACACACTTGGCGGGGAGAAGAAACATTTTTGTGCTTGGTTTTTATTTTTGTTTTTTCCGGGTTGCCCTCCATCCCCATCCGAAAGGATTTTGTACACCGAATAATCCGAAGGAAAAAAAAATATTTTAATATGATTTCCAGATTTCTGACCCATCTCTATTTATTTTCTGGATGTGTTTGGAGCTTCCCCCTTCTCCGTTTCTTCCGTTCTGTTTGTTACAGTTTGAATTTAAATTTTGTTATTTTATTTTTATTATTTTTTGGAACAATGTTTTGGTGCATTCTTTGTATCTTTATTGCAAAAATAATAATAATAATAATGTAGACTGGGAAGTTCCCTTTATATTTATGTTATAGTAAATATTTTATTACTCACATAAACATGTACCCCAGGGCTGTGTCCTGTCCTTTTTACTACCAGGGTTGGGTCGGTTTGTGGGTAAAGTGTGCGGATACCCTGGCTAACCTCCCCTAAAGTTCTGGCCACACTATCTTGGAAGAAGGTGACCACGCAGACCTTCTTTCAAACGAGCCTGTTAACTTGGGTGACACTTGGGCCCCTGACTCAGCGAGTGAGCTTAGGGAAGACGCTGCCTCGTGCCCCCTCCCGTACACAGACTATCCTGAGACCAGACCAGGGCCTCCAACACTGCAGTAACCACACTGAAATGGGGACAGCCGTTCCTCGGGCACAACGCAACTGCTTCTCAGCCAAGGAAGAAGCCTGCCTCACCTGGGACCACCAGCCTGGCATCTTTGTATCCCCACCCAAGACGCCAGCCCCAGCTTCAGTTTCACTCTGCACTCCACGTGTGAGGGTCCAGGCCAGCTCTACCCTTCCAGGTCATGCGGCCGTTGGAAGCAGAGTCAGGCCACACCAGCCCAGCCCAGCTGGCTCTCCACTCACAAACAAATGGTGCCCAAACCTACCTGGATCCGCTGGGAGTCCCAACAGCTTTGACAGCGGCCCTGCAGGTATTAAGTGGGCCTGGGGAGGGAGTCCTGGCTGTTGGCTTAGGCAAAGCCAGTGTCTGCAAACAAGCCACCTGGCCCAACTTCCCTCGCGGAGGAATGAGCCACCAGAAAGCCCTCCCCTCTCTCCAGGGATGGGTGCCCAAGAACTACCCCCCCCCCAACTCAGGGAGTGATGCGTATGCCCATGGGAAGACTCGCGGTTGTGCAACCATGACCAGGGTGGGGAAGACACAGTCTCAGACGTCTGCCTTCTCACGCTTTCAGCAGCGGTGTCTCCCCCTCCCCAGTGTCATGATGGTGGGGGCAGATCAGGGCTCCAGGGGCCCAAGGTTGCCCGTGACCCGGTCAAGATCCGTTGCCTTTAAAGCAACTTTTAAAGGTATTAACAAAATATAGCTCTTGCTGTTTCCTCCATAGATGCAGTTCTTTTCCCTTCTCAGGAGAAACCACCTGAGGTTTCTGTCACTTTTCATGGACACAAAGCCTGAAGCAGCACAACCACTTGACGGTGGAGAAAGCTGTGTCCCTAGTGAGGGGGGATGGGGGGGGTGCTGGCCAAGCCCAGGGCTGGGAGAGGCCTAGGCTCCAGCCGATGGCATCTTGGGCACCCAGAGAGGTGTTCCCAGGCTGTCCGTTTGGTGGTCCCCGGCCAGGCTGAGGCTCTAGGACGATGGTACCATGCTGAGCGTTCCCGGTGACTTTCTGGGCTCTGACCCTCAATCTCGGGAGGAATTGTCTCTGCAAGTACAAAGGCCGCCAAGATTTCCCAAGGCTCAGCCTCTCACTCACCGCTGCTTTCTTTTTCCTCCCTCCTTCAGTCCAGCCCAGTGGGCAGTGAGCCCTGTGACTGGCACCCGTGTCCCAGCCGTTGCACATCCTGGCGGGCCAGGCCAGGCCCCAGGCTTAAGGACGGGGCCGGGGATGCAACGGCCAGGTGACAGCGTGGCCTCCATTTCCTGCTCCACTAAGTACAGAACTTCACATCAGTCCCACACTCCCCCACACTCTCTCCTTATTTCTCCATTCCTGGATTTGTCCCAGCCTCGGGGCCCTGAAATGGAAGCAAGTGAAGCTCAGAGCTCCCTGCCGCCCGCACCGCCCTGAGCCGCAGCGGGTTTGGAGGTTGGAGAGGCACCAGGGAAGACGGGGCCTTTCCCTGGCCTCTGCCTGCAGCTGACACCAATTGATTGATTGATTTCCTAATTGTCTGCTTAATCCTGTACAAGAGGGTGGATTTATTATTTAAGCAAGTCAACTCAAAAACAGCAAAACAATGTGGCCTCCCAAGAACCTGCGGCAGCTGAGGAGTAGAACAAAACAAAACAACAACAACAAAAAAAAAAAATTAAGAAAAAAAAAAGTGGAAACGAGGATGGAAGAAAAGCTTCCACTTTGTGAAGATTTTACTTAATGAGACAGCAGCCTGGGACAGGTACTCAGTGACCAAGTGCTTGGTCACAGAAGTCCCCAGGGCTCCTCTCCCCAGTCTCCAGCCCCGGGTGACAGTAGGAACCGCCGCTCATCCTACTGTGTGAGGAGAAACCACAGGGAGAGGGAGATTGTGCCCTGGAGTCTGAGTCCCTGGATAGAATACAGTTTAGGACAGGTGTCTCCGTCCCGTGTGGGTGTGCAGCTACCTGTTCACTCCCGAGAGCCTCACACACGTCCCCTCGCTCAAGAGAGGCAGATGGCCCTAGCATCAGCCTGCAAGGAAGCCCGAGTGCCCAGTTGTCGTTGTCGGGTCCCCGACTCTCTCCCCTCCTCACTTGAAGAAAATCATTGTCTGTGATCGTGTGGCCACAGATTGTGCTCGTTAGGAGAGCATCATTCTCCCCGTGGGAACCTCTGGGGGCTGGTTATGAAGTTGTGTGCACGCCACTGTGCCTGCAAGTCCAGAGCCCCTCCCAGAGGTAGGCAAAGGAAGGCCAAGCTACACTAGTAGCACGGTGGGGGGTGGCCATTGTGGTCACCTGTGGTCACCAAGGCAAGCGCAGCAGGTGCTTCGCCCTAAACCTCGAGGACATCTATATTGTCCCCCCCACTCCTGCCCCTCGAAGTTGTGCTAGGTTGTACGTTGTACGGCTCAGATCCTGTGCCATCATACCTTGACCCCAGGACCCGACTGGGTGCGCACAGGACGAGCTGACTCCCAACCCTAGCTGCCCACCTAGAGCTGTTTGGAATCAAGTCTCCTCCAGAGGGAGGCTCTGGAGCTGCGTGTGGGAGGGTCAAGCTCCCAGCAACGACCCGGGCCCCCAGGCTTTTCCCAGCAGGGCTTAGCCTCCAGAAAGCTCCAGAAGGGAGTCCCACCTGAGCAGGAGTAGGAGTGAGAGTAGTTGGTCATCTGGCCCAGCCGCTCCCCCTAAGCTTAGCAACCAGGAGTCACCTGGGACCTCCGGCTTAGTGACAGAAGCCAGAGGAGCCAGAGATCTGGGCCCTGCCTGGCCTATTAGAAGGCACGGTTTGGCCGGCCCTTCCGGGCTCCATGTGGGAGGACTGCCCTCTATTGGTCCCTGAGCTGGGACCGCAGTCCCCAGGACTGACCTCGCAGCTGAGCAGTCCCACCACCACCCCACACACTGTCCCAAAATCCAGCTTCCAGATGGCTACTCTTGGGGGGGGGGGGGCGGTGACACCAGGCCGAGCAGAGGCAACTGTCCCCTCCCAGAAGACAATCCTGCTTCACACACACACAGGCTTGCCCACACCCTTCCTGCACCCACCACCCCACCCATTCGCCGTCACACTACCTCCTGTCCCTCTCCCACTCACA